TCCTGAGGTGGCAGCTGAGCTCGTGTGATCCCTTGGTTAGTGGTTTGGGATCTCTGCAGAGAACTAGGCAGCAGCCTTTGCCCTGTGCTGTTTGTCATACAGCTATGCAGTACATCTTCCATGTAATGCTGGTAGGTGTTTGCTGAGGAAAATTGGATTGCTGGGATTGTAGCAGCCGAGTACTTCTCCTTGCTGCCCCGATTGGAGAGATTTGTCACTTTGAAAAGCACAGAAAGATTAGTTTGTAGTAGGGCTGGAGGAGGTGGCAGAGGGCAAGGACCTTGAAATGGTGGGGCAAGGGTGCCTTGAAATGGATGTGATTAATCTGGGAACAAATTATCAAGTACAAACAAAGACTTTATTTAGAACTGTGTGGTTTTATAAGATAAGAAGTGAAAGTACTGTGGAAGGGCAAAAATGGTTACTACAGACCATGAGTAAAATCCTGTGACTGTTGTTCCTTTCACTGTGGACTCCCGAGTGCTTTGAGTTAGATGAATAAACTGTTCACTGTAAAATCACATTTTGGGGGGGGAGGGAAATAATCTTAGTTTTCAGAAATGGCTTTGTTTATTTTCTTGGAATGCGGAGCAGGTGCCCAAACAGGATCTGGAAGCTGTGATGGACTGGTTAGGGTTCAACTTCTGAGCTAGTGGTGTATCCTAAAGAGCGCCCTGAAAGGGTTCTTGGCCAGTGGTGCCTCGCAGGGAGCCGAGGGAGCGAAATGGCAGCGGTTTGAGTCCTGGCTGAAAGAGGAAGCGGCGGCGCTGCCGGGGCTCGGCAGGAAGCGAGCACAGGATGTGCACACAGACCTGACAGCGCAGTTTCCTCCGGCTGGGGGAACGAACACAGCCTGAAAACGGACTTGAGTACCTTTAGAACCAGAGAAATTGTGACAAGCTTGAAGGCTTGCGGTTTCTGCTTCGTGTTGCACCTACAGCAAGAGTGAAGGTGAGGTCATGCAGATTCTTGCTCTGGGTGTAGTAGGGAATGCTGGGGACAAAATCCCACCAAATTTCACTTAATTCTGCAGTCAGCAGTGCACACAGGTACTGGAACAGATTGCAGCTACTCTAAGTTACAGTTTGCAAACCCAAAGTGCTCCCATTCCACGTGCTTGCCTTTAGAATGGGAAAGTCAGGCTTGCATGGGAGGGGTCAGGTGTGTTTGGGACAGTATTTTGTGCAACTTGTGTTTAATCAGTGGGAACCTGCCAGAGGTACTGTGGATTTTTTCAGCCTTCTATGATAATTCAGTGTCTTGGTGCTTGCACAGGGCTGTGTGACCCAAGTGCATCACTGCAGAATTTCCTTTGCCCCAGGAAGGATTACTGACCTCCACAACGTCCTGCTGGAGACTTCAGTTCCCTCTTTGTTGCAACACTCATGTCTCTGTTAACACTTTTTGGGATTAGTCCTAAATGCAGATCAGCTGTCTCCCATAAAAGTGTAACTGAGTTTTAAAGCAAAATTCTGTAAAATGGCCTGTGAATTTGACAAAGTTTACATGGCTGTGTAATCCATGGTTTCCAGCATGTTACATCCCAGTTCTCTATGACATTGTTGAGTTTTGTGAAATCCTTGTTTCTGAACAGGTTAAAATCCAACAGATACTGGAAATATCATTAGTTAACATGTACTTTACTGAAGCACTGAAATTTTTGGTTACAATACAGAGAGGTTTGAGAAATTAATTCAGTGCTCCGTTTCTTTTTTTGCAATTTTTATTTATTTTTTTTTAAAGAACTCTTTTAGAACTTGTTGAACAGAACTAAGTCATATTGACCTGCATTACATTTCCAGTCTTTATCAGCTCTTCTCTCTGGGCTTGGCCAGATGGCTCACAGTTATATGGCTCTAAATCCACTCACTGCACTCAGACTGGGACTTCAGCACTTTTGAGTCTGTTTCAATTCCCTCAGATATTTAAAACTACTTAAAGTGTTCTCTAGTTCTGCTGAGTGTTGTATGTGCAGGCTTCCTTTTATTAGGTGACTTCAGGGGGAGAACAAACCCAAAGCCTCTATAACCTCTTTGTTTCTACCTCCCTTGGCGTTGCACTCTAGGGATGTTTTTCTCTGCTTAATCTCATTTTGGATTAAATTACTTTTAAACCACAAGTCAATAATGCATATATCTTTAAAGTTATTTCTATGGAAGAGTAAGTCCCAGGTGCACTGAAGCTCCCTAGAAACGAGCTTATTTTCAGCTGTGATCTATGGACTTCTTAGAAGTGCAAAACACGAAGTAATTCATCCAGCTAATCTAGAAAGCCTACTAATCCAAGGAAAATAATTATTCAACAACTCCACTTTCCCACTGCTAAGACTTTGGAGACCTATGCTCAAGACTCTAAAGCTGTTTAAAATTTATGCCATCATTTTTCAGTATTTAAAGATAAAGCTATATAACCATTAAAAACCAAGTTGAAGGGTGTGTGTGTGTGTGTGTTTGATTTGTTGATGTGCACCACGCCAGTGCTTCACTTCAGGAGCTCCGTGCCAGGCAGGGATAATGTGAGCTGTGGGCAAGGTGTGTGTGCAGCCAGTGCTGTGTCTTAGCCCCAGTCTCTGACGTGAGCCCTTCCCAGAGAACAGCAGCTTCTCTCCCAGACCTTGGCTGTGTCCAAGGACAGGGAAGAAGTGCAGGCTTCTGATGCTTTCTGAGATGCTTTTTGATACCGTGGCTTCATTCTGTTGCTTGCTTGGTGTTCTCTGGAGCAATGAGCTTTAAAGAGTAACACTAAACACTTGTTTTTCTTTTCACAAAGGCCTGTGTGTGACCTTTTCTGGTACAAGTGCATATACAAAATTTGGATTTATAGAGAATCATGGATTGGTTGTGCTGCAGTGAGCCCAGGGAGTGCTTCAGAACCTGGATTTTTCCTCTAGTGTGCTTTATGGGCTCTGGGCAGGTGTCTGAAGCAGATGTGTAATCTGCAAATTACAGGTAAACAAGGAAATGCAAATAATTGGGAAAGAGGGCAGAAAGAAGAGGGAGGTAGAGCAGCAAGGAAGGATTACAGGATGGAGGAGTTGTGGGCTGCCCAGAGGGAAGGGCAGGGTGGAAAGGGAGCTTCTCTGAAGGGGTGGATGTTCAGTGCTGTTACCTGACTTCATATTACTTGTATGTAAACAGTTGAGCTGATCTGAACACTGAAAATGCCTTTTGAAATGGAAATGATTGCTTTGTCCTTCTAAGTAAATATGTGTTTGCTTCAGTGCCGAATCTCAGAGCTTTTTGTTGTATTAATGAAGGGCCTATTGGTAGGTCTGTGAACCTGAGATCTGCATAAATCAACAGATTCTATTATTTTGATATTGAAATAGGGCACTAAGTAGAGGACTGGTGGCAATGCCTGATGCTTATACAAGTCAGTCATTGTCTCTGTGCTTGCTGAAAGAGGATACATAGATAAGGGTGGCAGTGAGTGCCCGATGTACCAGGTGCTGGCTGGTGGCCTGCTCTGAGAAAGAGTCATTGCTGCCATTTCCTAAAACTGCTTGTGGATCTGTCCAGGGCTTGTGGGAATGATGGTGACGAGTATTCCCCTACAGGTACCGTTTTTAGGAACTTTTGGGGATTTTTGTTTAAGGGAGATGGCTTTGTTGAAGTCTTTGAGCATCCCTGCAGCATCTGAAGAAGAGCTGGGGGTGGTATGTTTGTTTTGAGTCCATAGTGATTTCCTTTGCTTTGCAGGCATGACAATGTCATGTGCAGTATCAAGTCATATTAACACCTTGAGATTAGCTCCCTTGATTAGAGCATGGTGCTAATAATGCCAAGGTCATAGGGTTGGTCCCTGGTTGGGCTGTTCACTTGAAAGTTGGACTTGGCGATCCATGTGGGATTCCAACTCAGAGCATTTTGTCATTCTGTGATGTCACTGGCTCAAAAACCTGGAATCGATTTCTACTTCTTGCACACCACTGTAAGGAGTGAATTCACTAGGAAGTGTCCAAGTGCACAGTTCAGGAGGGATCGATTTGGGTTTTTTAGTGCACTTACCCAGACTTGAGAGCCACGGCAGCACCCTCAGAGGAGGGTGAATCTGCTGCTTTAAACACCCCCTTGGCCCCCATGAGGATTTTACAGAGACTTTGCAGCAAGTCTCTGTCACTGTAAATAAAAGTACTTCTGATAATACAGAAATGCTGAAAGTCAGGGGGAGCTTTGCCACTAATTTGTTGGGGTCAAAATTTCACACTTGTATGTGAAGAAATGGCCAGAAGCCTGGTATTCTTCTAATTAAAGTTACATATTAATGAAGGGCAACTGTATTGACACTGGAGGGAGCCAGCTAATGTTTGGATGGAGGTATTGATGGCACATGTCGATTTAGTTCATGTGCTGAAGTCTCTGCTGGGATAGTGTTGGAGCAGTTGGGTGCATCAGGATTTCGTGATGTCTGGAGAGTAATTCCCTTGGGATCTGGGTGCCCTGCTGAGCTCTCATTGCTGTTAGCACTTCAAAGTGGGGATAAAGGGATATGTTAAGTAGCAGCTTTAACCAAAAGGTTGTAAAACTGTGCTTAGGCCTTAAAGCTGAGGGAAGGAGAAATTAATCATGTTTATTTCTGTCTGTACTTGTTTATTTTTATCCATAAACTAGTTTCGAAGCACATGTTGCTGTGCTTCCTGCTGAGCTGCTCTCCAGAGGGAGCTCTCTGGGAGGCAGGTGTGTTCCTGAGCAGAGTTTGCACTTCCAGCTTTCAGAATATCTGAGGCTGGATGCTTCCATGCATGAAAAGCAGAATCTGGAAAAGCCTCAAGACCGGTTTTGCCCATTTCTAGGTAACTAGGCAAAATTTTTTTCATTTATGAACATGAGCAGCTTCCTGTTGTGTGTGTGATGGAGAGAAAGGATCTAAAAGCTCATTTAAAAATGTCTTGTTTTCATATCCCAGATGTGCTGTTAGTGGTTTGGGCTCCTTGATGACGGCTCTCTAGTGAGTGTGGGAAACCTCTAAATATATGTATCTCTTTTTTTTTTTTCTTCCAGGTTCTCTTTGGAGTTGATATTCCAGTAGATTTCAGCTATGCAGACGATCAAGTGTGTAGTCGTGGGTGATGGTGCTGTTGGTAAAACCTGTCTCTTAATTTCTTATACAACAAATAAATTCCCATCGGAATATGTCCCAACGGTAAGTGTGAGAAGGGTTCTTTGGTCGTGGTGGGGCAGGGCAGCAGGAATTCCCTTCTGAACTAACCTTTATGGTGTGCATGCCCTGGTCCCTGTTCTTCCAGCCTGCTTTCCTCTTGGACACTGACTGATACAGCAGGGAAAAGTGACAGTCAGTCCCATGCTGCTGCCTTCCAGAGCACCTAGCAGTGCTGGGGGCCTTTCCTGTGTCTGCTCAGTTCTTGCTGCTTGACTGCTCTGCACCATCTGCCTTCTCTTTGGGGGTTGATCCTGTGGGTGAGTTTAGCAGTGCAAACAGCTGCAGGTCAGGAGTGCCTGGTCTCCAGCTTGTGCTCTCAGCTCCTGCTGCATCTTTGTTTTTAGGGAAAGGAGTTTCATGTTGCTAAAATAGCCAGTGACTGCAGTTAACATTTTCTGAGGCTCCTTTTTGCTTTGCAAAGATCCGGAAGTGTGGTGAACTATGGAGTGTGACTTCAGCTAAGCATGAGGAATGTGTTTGGATTTAGACTGTGCAGTCCCATCCATCTGTACTTCCAAACCTTTGCAAGCTTTGTGTGTAGTCCTTGACTATTTTTAAGTAACCTTTTGGGTTTCACAGGCTCAGTTTTCTGAAATACTGATTCCCTTGACTTATCTAAAGATCAAGTTGGGAGGAGTTTCGCTGCCTGTGAGGCATATGCACAATCTCTCTGTTAGAAAAGTGCTTTTCTCCTTAGTCATATGCAAGATCAGTGCACTGCCACTGAGCTGGGTCAGCTTTCAGTGAGGTTGCTGCAGGAGACTTGGACAGCTGGATGCTATTTTATTAGCTTTCTCTAATTTCTCTCATTATGGGCCTGAAAGGTCCATCCCACGTGGTGGTATGAAAAATTCATCACTAAAAATCCTTCTCACTCAACTAAAACTGCAACATAAGGCAACTCAAAAGACCAGATAACTCATCTGAAAGACCAGATATCTCCTTTGAGATGCCAAGATAACGGTCTGAAAGCTCTTCTGGAATAGTTCTTTACAAAACTGTCCTCTCCTTGCGAAAAAGAGGTTGAAGTGGATGTCATTGCCTCTTTTTGTAAGCTATCCAAGTCTTTCAACTTGTGAAATACGAGGTTTGTCTTGTGTAGGACAGGCTCCCACAGAACAAAAATGTTTGTCTTTAGCTGTAGATCAGGAGGTAAAGATGAAAGGACTCTCAAACCTCAGGGTAATAAGGCTGGATGCAGTGGCCACTGTTGGGAACATGCTGGTTGTGCTGTGAGTGCAGAGATCAGTCTCTCTCGTGGGCTCTGTTATGGACTGGTGAAGTGGCATTTGAAACGTGTTTTTTGTCATTGTCAAGTCTTTGAGTGGCATCAAGTATCCTGCTGTGATGCTTCTAGGGCAGCCACATCCTGTGCTGAACCTGTGGGAGGCTGCTTGTCCTGTTTAAGCTATTCTTTATGGTCAAGACAAAATGCAGGCGGTCAGTGAGTTCAGCAGTGAGTGTTTCTATACTTATCCCTTCAGGGAAATGACCCTCTATTATGTTGAAAAACGTTATAATCTTAAAACGTGTGTTTTGAAGGCTTGGGAGTTTGTGTGCTGCCCTGCAGGAGGTAGTACTGGCTGTAAATCTCTGCTGACAAGGAATATGAGAAAACCTCCTCAAAAGTGAGTTGCCAGTAAGGTGTGTTCGAGGTGTCCTGAGGATTCTTTATAGTGCTTTTTAAATCTGCCCCATTTTTCTGGAATAATATTTACCCCCGAACTTCATGGCTCGAGGAACTTGCTGTTCTGGAGATACCAGAGGCCTGTTCCTAATTCTGTGAATGGCCTGGAGGTGTATTTCAGACACTGGGAACTGATATGTAACCTCTGATATTCCAGCTAATGTTTCCAGTGGTAAATGGACAGAGAAATAGATACTGCTGTGCTTTTGCAGCAGTGTGGCCAAAGCATGGATAGTGAACACATCAGTTCAGACCAGCAGATTGGTTCTGTTCACTTGACTCTGTGTTTTGCAACCCTTTCTCTCTGTGGCAGATATTTCCCAGTGGGAAAGCCTGCAAGTGTTCCCTGGAGCTGGACACTTTCTTGGCTGTTCAGTGAGGCAAACCCGGTGCAGCGTGTGAAGGGTTGGGCTGTGGGTGATGGGGATGAGTGGTGAATTCTCTTGCAGTGCTTTAAAATCTTGAATGCTAAGCCAAAGTAGTGTGAGAGGTGGATTTCTGCTTCTGGCTGATGTTCTGTGGATATGCAGTGGCCATAGTTGCTTTCTCAGTCACTGTGATTTGTGAGAAGCTGGAAAAATTAGGGTAGTGTCAGGTCTTGCTTTAACCAGGGCAGTCAAGTGGGAAGGAGACATGTGAACTCTGGGAAGTTGAGCTTTGAAGTGCTGTCTCACTGCTCTTACCTCAGTTTTTGGTGTTTTTTTTCAAGGACCTAAACTTTTGCTATAGCCCTGTTAATAGATGCATGTGACTGCTTATTTTCCACGTCCCTCCCTTCTCACTTCCATGAAAAGCTTTTGAGGTGGCTGCTGGCCTCTCTCGTGTTGGGGGTGTATTTCAGCTGTGGGAGCTGCTCAGGCTGCAGTTCTGTGTGGAGGCAGAACTTGCCCATGCTCATTTGGAGGAGTCCCTGTGCAGTGATGTGCAGGGGCAGATGGTGGGGTTTGGTTTTTCTGCAGTGGGAAAGATCTTTTGCCAAAGGTGGTTTCTGCAGTACTGTCTGTCGTGGTTCTGAAGATAACATGGTTATTGGAAGTAAGGGTACTGACCTCAGACAGTGCACTGCTGAGCGGGTGGGTGTTGGAGGTGAGTGTTTGGGTAGGCCCTGGTGCTCTGTTGTGTTGTAAACAAGTTACTGGGTGGTGCCGGCTTTGATCTGTGCAGCAGCTCTGCCCTGGGGGACAGCACTGTTGTGCCAGGTGCTGTGCAGAGACAGCAGGACTTTGTCTCTGGAGCCAGACTCTCCGTTTGGATTGGGAGTGAATTTGACACAGGCTGATTTTTTGACCAATCCTTCAGAGACTGAGGATAAATCCCTGTTGAAAAGATGGACTTTATGATGTTCAGAGGGGATTTCCTGCAGAGGATTGGGGTGCTGTGAGATGCAGCCCCATTGCTGTGACCCTTGAAGGGCAGGGCTGACACTCCTTGTTCTGTCCTTGTGGGGCTGTGATTACTGTGTCACACCAAGGGTGAAGGTGGGGATTTCTGTGGCAGTGTGGGAAACCTCTTTGTGCTAACAGGTAAGCACTGCTGTAGGTGTTTTGCTCAGTGGTTTTTACCATGGGTACCTCGTGTGCCTTTGCTTTAGTACCTCATGGAAGCAGCTGGAGTATCCCTGTTCCAAATGGAATTGTTCTGTTACTGGCCTTAGTGGTCACAGCACTGTAAGCCTGATGGTTCTCTTGTCCTGTGCAGGTATCTCTTGTGCTCTGACAAAGTGAGTGGGATGATAGTTTGAGAGATGGCTTATTCACATCCTCTTAAATGTGTATTTCTTTTCTTGCCAGGTTTTTGATAACTATGCTGTAACAGTGATGATTGGAGGAGAGCCTTACACCCTGGGCCTCTTTGATACTGCAGGTGAGAAAACGAGTGCTTGTGTCATTGTACCTGCCCGAGATTTACCTGAGGTGATGTGCAACGTGAAGACATACAGTTGGTTTTTTGGTTTTGTTGAGGTTTTTTTTAATGGAAGGGGAAAAATCTCTCTTGATTCTTCATTCCCGACCTTTTGAGAGTTGCTAAAGTGAGTTTATTAAAAAAGAACCAAAAACGCAACAACAAAAAACTCAAAAGCAAAATAAGAAAACCTTCCACTTCTTTTAGAGCTGTTTTATTTTGTGATACCAGATGACAACTTTCAGACTGTTACCTCTTATCTAGGTGATACGTGAAAGATAAAGGTTTCCGTGTTTTTAAATGAAATTAAAAAGGAGAAATTTGTGTTGAATAAAATGTGGATTGTATGTGGGTTTTGTTTAGTAAATAGCCAATTTTTTAACCAAATGTCAAGACAGAATTACTAACATTAGAATGTCTTAAATGTGCGTATGTTTCTGCATCCTTAACATGGATGAAATCAGGGTGTGGATTTCCCAAGCCCTCTCACTATGTGCTTTTTAGAATTAAAAATCTGCTGGCCTCTTGTTTAAGCTGTGTTTCAGTTTCTGGCTGGAGAAACATGCAGTGATTAAACAGCTACATACTGCTTTGAGTGTGTGAAAAGTTAGCAAGAAAGGGTAGAAACTGGTTCAGTTGCAGGGTACCCAGTCCCCACCACATAGTGATACCAAAGTGGTGTGGCAGCAACTGGTGTTGCAAACTCTTCTTCAGAAGAGTCCTTCTGGGGACCTTAGTTCATAAGCTGTCACCTAAAATTGTCCTGATAGAATTTACTCTGTTTCCAGCTGTGTTCTTAAATGCATTGTTAGTGTCTAATTTGATTAAGGAAACAGTCTTAGGTTTCCAGTTAAACCCTGTAGCTGTTAAGGAAGCTTTCCTGTCCCACCATCCGGGAGCCACTGTGGCAGTCACACTCCAGCACCTGAGCTGGGACCCTGCAGGGACTCTACCCCTTTGCAGCAGCAGCTCCAGTGACCTGATGGGGCCTCGCTTGACTCCCTACACACCCCACACTCACACAGTCAGACAGGGTTTCCTTACTCAGGTTCCCCATAGATGTCTCAGAAGTCCAGATCTTTAAAGTAATTTAATCATGGTGCAAAACGAAAGTAACAGCTCAAGCTAGTGCCTCTGAGGAGGGACCCTGAACAAAGCAAACCCTGGGCTTTTATATCCCTTACAGCCTGTGTGCAAAAGTCTGGGGTCTCCCAGCTGAGTCCTTGGCTCCTGCTGTGTCTCTGAATGTCTGGTCACCTGTCTGCTTCACTTAGCTCTTTGTGTTCTCCTCCCAAAATGTGACCTGTGTCCCTATTATTGCAGGCTCCCCTAGTTCATGGATAAAGAGTTAGGTGGAGAAGGTGGAGAAGAGAGGTTCCTTCCTGACACGTGCTATAGGGGCCTGCAGCATTGTGTGGTCCCTGTGTTGGGTCCTTCCCTGCCTGTTTTCCTGTGAGGGTTCAGACCTCTGAGAAGTGGGATGTGTGTGTAGATATGCACATTCACATACTATCAACATGAGTAGTGACCCAGCTAGTAATTCTGACAAGTTACCAAGGGACTTTAGTGCACTTGTGAATGTAAGGGCTTTCCCTTTCAGAGCTGGACTGCTGAGGGGAAGCATTTGTTCTTAATGGCTGCTTGCTCTTTGCTAAATAGTAGCCAGCACAAGTGACAGAATTCAACAGCAGATGAAACCCTCAAATAAAAAGCTGTCAAATAAAAAAATAACTTTCTTGAGCTTGTGCTTGGAAGACAAAGCTTTTGGGAGTAGTCTGTTAATTGCAACAAGATATTTGAGATTTAGAGTAGATGCTAGGAAGAAATTCTTCCCTGTGAGGATAGTGAGGCCCTGGCACAGAGAAGCTGTGGCTGCCCCATCCCTGGAATTGTTCAAGGCTGGGTTGGATGGAGCTTGGAGCAACCTGGGATAGTTAAAGGTGTCCTTGCCCTTGGCAGGGGGTTATGAGATGAGCTTCAAGGTCCTTTCCATCCCAAAGCATTCTGTGACAATGATTCTGGTCAGTGCTTACCCCTCTGTGTCCAGCCAGGCATGGTAGCTGTAACAGGCTCTCTACATCTCCATCTTCAAACTGTAGAGCTTCCTCCACTGAGGTGTCCCAGGTGTTACATTGGCTCCTTCAGGATCTTGGAAGTGTTTGTCCTGTATGATGAGCGAGAGAGCATCAGCTGGAACCTGAGACATTTTAAACAAGTGTTTTGGATTTGGTTGCCAAAAAGTGCAGCAGCTTCAGTGCCAGATTTGCTTTCTAAAAACAGATTGCTGCTGAATTGGGCAGGAGGAGGTTTAAGAAAGAGCTTGGGGAGAGCGAGGCTGGTGAGTCAGTGCTAATGGTGCCCTGCAGGGACTGCCTGCCCTCTAAGGACTCCAAGGGAAGAGCATGGCTTCCTCCAAAACACAGCCTGTGCAGGGACTTTGGTGAGATTTTAGAGGAATACTGCTGGGTGGCCTGATCAGAGTCATGTGTACCAGCAGCATTCTCTGCCTGCTGCCTGGGGACACTTCACAGCATAAGTAATAACATTTTCGTGAATAAAACTGTTTGGGGTTTTTTTTCCCCCTCCTTCAAACAGCAGGTTTTTTTGCAGGGTAATGAAATTTGATGGCATAATCCTTGTATGGAATGGACTAGGTGCAGAGGACCTCATCTATAACCCGATCCATGTTCTGCAACTTTTCTTCATAATTGAGGAAAGTGTTATGCAGTCTGAGGGTGTTTGATCTAAAAATGTATTGGAGACTTCCCACCTCGCCTGTGACTTTCAGCAGCTCACTGTTACATAGCAACTGAATGAATTCTGGATTTGAAAACTGGCATCTCCAAATGTTTGGGTTCAGGGTATGCTTGGTTCTTTGCTTAAGAGTTAGGATTAGTCATAGGAATGTTGTTATGCTGGAACATGCATTCTAACCTGCTGTAAAGGGCAGTATTTTACTGTCTGTATCTAATGCTGTGTTAATTTTCTCCTCTGTAGGTCAGGAAGACTATGATAGATTACGACCCCTCAGCTATCCACAGACAGATGTATTTCTGGTCTGTTTTTCAGTGGTGTCTCCTTCTTCATTTGAAAATGTGAAAGAAAAGGTCGGTTGAACTTTGCCTGAAAAAGCTGCCGAAGTGTCAGGTGGTTGTCACGGGTGGTTAATAACAAATGCTGTGTCTTCCCTGTCTTTAGTGGGTACCTGAAATTACTCACCACTGTCCAAAGACTCCTTTCCTGCTTGTTGGGACCCAGATTGATCTAAGAGATGACCCCTCCACAATTGAGAAACTTGCCAAGAACAAGCAGAAGCCCATAACCCCAGAGACGGCTGAGAAGCTGGCCCGGGACCTGAAGGCCGTCAAATACGTGGAATGCTCTGCGCTTACGCAGGTGAGGGCTGGGCTTTGACCATTTTTGCTTGCTTTTTTCTTTTTTCAGTTCCAGGGAAAAACATCTCCACGTGGACGTGAAAGGGTATAAGTTCTGTTTCTGCTGTTGACGCTGTAGCTTTCTCTTTGTCTCCTTGTTCTAAGGCACAGGGAGTTGGCAGTGGTACAAAGACAATCAGCCTGTGAGGATTAGGCCTAGTGTAGAGGAGTGATGGAGGAGAATGTGCTTGCTGTGTTTGCTTCTGTCTGGAGAAGAATAACTATTGAAAGCTTAGAAGGTGCGTTACAGACAATAATTGGGTTAGGGCACAGTGTGCAGCTCACCACTGAAGAGAGCAGGCAAAGGAAAAAAAAAACCTCTCAGAAAAGTTAATTCTGGTACCTGTAAGACTGAAAGCCTTCGTGGTCTAGAGCTGCTTTGTCTTCCTATGCAGCTGGTGGTGAGCTGTTTCCTGTGCCCACCTTCAGATGGAAGTTCTGTTGAAACAGAAAAGAAAAATGAAATAGTTCTTAAGACATAAAAATGAAGTGTGAACTAACTTGTGAACGCGAGTCTAAAGGCAACTAAAATAGCTGATTTGAGGCCAGGAAACCTGATTATCCTTTCCCTTTAAATTAGGAATGCTAGAGTAGGAGCCATTTTCTGGCTAGTTGGCCTTTTGCCTTGACTTTGGATGCCCTGGGAACTGAATCTGGTGTGCCTGCACTTGGAGAATTGACTGCCACTCTTTAACAACTTCCTTAATGCTACTCTGTAAAGAATTTGTCACTGCCTGATGTGCACAGAGCCAGGGGTGCACAGTGTCAAGCCCCTCACTCCAGTGATGCTGTGCATTCATTTCCTTGAGCACAAAACATTATTGCAGAACTTGTCAAAGCCTGAAGTTTTATTTATCTTGCCCCTTTTGCCCAGATTGCATGTTGGCTCTTCCATTTGGGATCCAGAGGCTTTTTTTTTTTTTGTAACAAAGCTTTGCCTGAGTGTTTGCTGCAAATGAAGCAGCTGTGCTGGAGTTGTGCAGGACAGTGGCACTGGAGGTGGTGTGGCAAGGCATGCTGTGGTTCATCCTGGGAATCCCTGATCTAAAGGTGGTTTTGGCTGTGCTTCCTTACCACCCACAGGCAAGCTGAGGGTTATTTGTGCTTGAGCTGTAGTTCTCTTAGATCTGTTCAGCCCCAAAATACTGTTTTAGATGGTGTCTGACACATCCTGAATGCTGCTGTTAACTAGGCTGTAGAAGCTGATAGTTGGATAAATACCTGCCAGGGCCATTGTCCTGTATTCCTCACTGAGACCCTTTCCCCTGTAGCTTTAGACTTGCCTTGTATAGTCTGCTCAAATTGCACAGAAACACTTAGAATTACCAGAGCAAGAGCTGATATGCTAAAAAAATGTCAGTGTTTATCCATTTTTTCTGTTTCCAGATAGACTAATCTGTCTCTGTTGCAGTGAAATGCCTTATGCACTTGGAAGCTCAGCCTGAATTTCTTCCAGAGCACTAATGCTTGTATACCCATTGATGGTTTTAGGAGTCAGGAGTGACCTGGGAGGAGGGTTCAGAAGCTTTCTCACCTGGAGGACTAGTTGGTTTGCATCTGCTCCATTTTTCTTCCTTTTTTTTGTGGTTGACTCCCCTCACAAAACACCTTTTCCTGGGCTCTGTCAGCAGTATCTGGCAAACAGCAGCGTAGCTGATCTGTGAAGGTGGCGTGGAGCTCCTGCACTGGCAGTTTGCTGAACACAGAAGCCAGCTGCTTTCCTGGCCAGGAGGATTGTTTTCCTCCCTGCAAGGCAATGCAATAGTAGCTGGTTTCAGCTGAAGTGAGACTCAGCTGGATATTTAGTCTCTCTTTACCTTGGCTGCTGTCTGCATGGTTCACCTCAGCAGTCCAGGGTGGTTTTTTCCTTCCCAACTAATTTACAAATGACTGACACCACAGTAGCAAGTGATCACAGAATCATGGAGCTAGCACGTTTTTGTACCAGGTCAGTCATGAGAGGCTGAGTTTGTGAGTCTTTTCTGTACAGACAGAATATCTTGTCTCTGAGTTTGCACGTGTGCTGTACTGGGGAGCTGGTTTTATCCCCCTTTCCTCAGGTTGTGGAACCTCTTTTTGTGATGAAGGCATTTTCAGTGTCCTCTCCAACCTTTCTCTACCAAATAGTGCCCAGTGCCACTGTGAGGAGTGGATAATAAGGCTTTGCTGTTAGGAAAGGGTGACTGACAAACAGATTGCAACTGCAGTGATTGTTGCTTCTGTTATGCTGAAGAGTTAAATGTCTGAGTGGACTTTCTAAAGCCCAGTGCTAGTATACCTAACACCAGGGAGTGCTGAATTCAGTTCTTTTTCCCCCCTGGGTGCTGGGTTGACAGTTTTGACACAACTTTATAAAGTGCCTTAAGCTGCCTATGAATGGAGGGAGTAAAGGAAGCCTGATCTCAGCTTGTTCCCAGTGCAGCACAGGAGCCATGACTTTAACTGGAGTATTGTGTGCCTGTGGTATTGAGCACAGTTCCCTTCGTGTTGTTACTCTTGGTCATCCAGGCTTTTAACTCTGGTCCTATTTTCACAACGGTTTTGTTCCTATCTCTTTTTCCTCCTCTTCATGTTTTTCCTGGGTCCTTCAAAACAAATCCCAAATTCTGGGCTCCTGAACAAATTTCTCCCGTGCAGTAGGAAAATAGAAGTCCCTGAGTAGGAGAATTAAGGAAGGTTGTTTTCTTGATTCTTGCCTTGCCTGGGTTCTTAATCTGTCTAACAGTGCAGTATTGAGTTTATGCTACAGCCTTATTCTTGCAGAGAAAGGAAATCTAATTAGTACACAGACTTCAGAGGCGTTATTTATCTGAAGTCTTTAGCTCTTTTGTCAGCCTGGGTTGCAACTCATTTTAAAAAAAGAAAAAGTTGCTGGGGAGGCTGTACAGGATGTACACTGTAGTTTCCTTAAACAAGATTATACATACAAGTATAATCTTGTATGTAATGTGATGGCCTTAAATGCTTCCAGATGGAACTGCCTCAGAGCTCTCCTGTATATGTGCTTCAGTAAAACAAGATTAAAGTCTTTCTAAAAGGGATATATCCAGTATAACCTGCGAGGGAGAAACCAGTTACATCTGAATGATCTTAAAGAGAAGAAAGTCTAAATTTTGCACAGACTGCAGTTGTTTACAGGATTTAATTGAAGCTTTTCTGTTTGCCTTTGGCTGTCATAAGGCAGTTCTCCTGAATTTATGAAGGTTGCACTCACGACAGTAGATTTAGGCGAGTCCAGTTAGCCTAAACTGAGCCAGGTGTTACCTGTGGCCTGGTGTGTAACTTGGCAGGGCTGGGTGGGAGCGGTAACACCCTGCAGAGTTCCTGTTGTGCTTGCAGCAAACGCATGCTCCGTGCTCCAGTGTCACCCCTGCAGAGCCCTGCAGCTCTGGCACTGCTTGGCTGCTGGTGGGTCCCAGCTGTTCCAGCTGTAATGCTGTTTTCTGTCTTCCCGTGGTTATAACTCGCTTTGGAAACTAAACTGAATAACTGAAATGCATTGTTTCCACGCTGGCTCCCGGTGCCAGAGTAGCACTGGTAAGGTATTGCATCACTTCTAAAGGCTGGGAGTTACTGACTGCCAGTGATGATGGCTTACCAGGGAGGTCCTGCTTCCATCCCGGGTTGTGTGTTCCCAGCCATCTCCAGACCTTCAGTTATTCAGGGGCTGAATTCACAAAGCAGGAGTTGTTTGGAGCCTTTGCTCTGGACCAGCTGCCACTGGGGGAGTTGGGAGCAGTAGTCCGTGCATCCCAGGTGCTCACTTATCCACAGTGGGTGATTACAAAAGGTTTAGCTGATCTTTTGGGTCCCTGTGGTGGGGCAAGCTGCTCTCCACTCTATTTACTCCCCTGTAAACTCCCTCAGTGTACGTACAGCAGTGGAGTGGAAACTACCACCCGTTGTGTGGCTCCCACCCCCATGTTGTTGCTGTGTTTGTGCCTCTGCCCTTCTGAGTGTTTTGTCTGACCTTGTCTGTCAAATGTTCTGTCTGTCTCTGTCATTGACTTATGGGTCATCTAAATGAGATTTCGTCCTGGGATCTACTTTGTTTTTTTACAAAGTAAATCTGTTTACTGCCTCTGTGAATTCAGCCTGCTCTATCCTGAATGCTCTTTGTATCTGCTTGTTTTTCTCTAATCCTCTAACCTGGCTGCTGTTTTTTCTCCTCCCCTCTGTCTTGTAGAGAGGTCTGAAGAATGTGTTTGATGAGGCTATCCTAGCTGCCCTCGAGCCTCCGGAAACTCAGCCCAAAAGGAAGTGCTGTATATTCTAAACTTTCTTCTTCCCCTCTTGCTGCTGCTTCCTCTGTCCCACTACTGTAGAAACGTGGTTAAAAATGAATCAAACCACCTTGATTGAAAGCTGTTGTGCCTGCTTACCATCTTAGAGCAACCTCTGTATTAGCCCTTGGACTGAAAAACAGTACTTGAGATCTTTAGTAAAAACGTTGTGACTGTGGAACACGAACTGGACTCGCTTAACTCCCTGCTGCTTGGGTTGCCAGATGTCACTAGCTTTATAATTCAGGCTGTTGGGGGAAAGGATTTGGTTACATTGTTGTTTAAAGAAAGATCAAAAGAATAAGAGATGATGTTTGATCTTCCTGAATCCAACTGGAAGAAAACAATGCGTGTGTTTTCAATTTCTACTTGTGAACTTGTAAACTGTATTTGCATGACAAAAGTACCTGAACCGGTGATCTGCAAGTGATGCTGTAACGTGAAGGGTTTTCTGGTTCTCCTGTGTGCAGTGAGATGTTTTTCTGTTGCTGTTGCTTTGGCTGTCTGTGCTATAGTGGAGTATTTGTCAGTCCTTGGGGGGAAGGAAATATCAATGTACTTGCGACTGCTTTATGAACTGTTAAAATTCTTGCTTTCACTAACATGGTAGAGCTCTTCATTTCAATAATAGATCCTTAAAGCCTGTTACTGTAAGATGTAAAGCTGCTGCTTACTATCGTGCTTCTGATTTTTATTGTTTTAAGGAGAAAACATCAATTGTAGCTTGTCTTTAAATTTTGAAATTAAAAATTGCAGTTGTTTGTATAAATGACTGATGAAGCTTTATTCGAGTTGCATCTCCTGGCTCCAGTTTAATCCTTAATGCAGTGTATGGTACCTCTGTGTACTCCTCCCAGCTCAACCTCTCTGCTACCATGGCAGCTTCTGGGCTCTGCCTGGCTGCTTCTAACCCTGGGATGTTTAGGGCTGGATGCCCAACGAGAGCGTGTACTGGACCAGGTTATCATTGCATGCTTGCCTTGTCTCTCCTCCCCTGACACACGGCTCGGGTGTCTGCTGTGCCAGGCGTGCTCCAGGTAGAGCTCTTCCATCTGAATGCAGCACTTTCTGCTTTGTCATTAGCATGTCAAATGTGTGAGTAGCCAGTTAATCATAAAAAATTGCCTTAAGGAAATGACTTTGGTGCGTGTGTTTTGCTTCATGTGAAGTACACTGCTCTGCTCTGGGAGGATTTGTGTTCCTGCTCCCCAAATGAGGTGCCGTGCTCGGGAGCTGCCGGGCACAGCAAACGCGGCTCGGGTGGAGCCTCTGAGAGCTGGGGATGGCAAAACCCTCCATCTGTCTGTAGAGGGGTGTGGCTGCCACTTGGCTTTCTGGGGGTTTGGTTTTGTGTGAAGACTCAAAAATGAGACTGCCCCTTTTCTCTCTCTTTGCCCCTTTTCAGAAAGGCCTAAAGAATGTATTTGACGAAGCGATATTGGCTGCCCTGGAGCCCCCGGAGCCGAAGAAGACTCGCAGGTGTGTGCTGCTATGAACGTCCCTCCACTGCCCCTTCTGCAAAGCTGGTGTTTGATGTCACATTAAAAGCAATGTTTAAATCAAACTAAAGATACAAATTCTAAAATTTGTTTTTTGCAATAATGACAAATGCCCTGCACTCCCATCTCCCCCACACAATCCCTGTGTGAGATGAGAATGTTAGTGTTTATTCCCCAGTGCCCCCTCAATTCAGTTAAACTAGTTAATTTTGAGTAACTATGTATTATCAGAAAACACTGATCAGTACTAGTTTTTTATTTTGTTTATTGTTTCTAATTTTTTTTTTGTTTGTTTAACATCAAGGCATACTCAATGACTTTTTCTGTAACAGACTAATTTTAGGCTGTTTTACTGAAGCCTTGCCCCTTAAGCCAGTCTGGCAAGACTTAGTTCTGGTTTCAATACCTTGTAGGGCTGTTCTGCAGTCAGTCAGCAGCCTGGGTGTGAGCAGACTTTAGTCAGGAAAGCAAAATGTCCCAAGCTGGTGCTTCTCTAAGAAGGAGTGCAGAAAATGCATCTCCTCTGAAGTTGCCTTGTATCTTTTTCCGCTGGCTTTTTACTGTGCAGGTCATAAATTTCTACCCCATCCTCTAAATTATGAAGCCTTAGGAATAGGAGAACCATTTTCTCTGGATGCACCATCAGACTTGAAACTAACTTGCCAGTGTCTCACTTAATCTTTGCCATCATAAGCTTTTGGCTCGTGATGAAGAAATAACTGCACCTTTGGAAGCATGCCTAGCTCGATCAGCCAGCTTTTAACAAATCCATCTTCTGCCAATCCTTAATTGTTAGAGAAATGCTTAACCATGATCTGCACATACACTGCTGCTTGGACACCCTGAGGGGGGCCCAGGGTCTGCAGCCATGGGCTTTGGAGCTGGCTCTGATGGTGCATCTCTTGCTGGATGGCTTGGCATCCTTCAGGGAGGGGTTGGAAAGACAGACCTGTGTCAGTGGGAAGGAACTGCAGGGAGGGGCTTCTGGTGTTCAGTGTGGCACCATACCGGGACCAGTTAATGGAGCCCCTTCTCCTGCAACCTGAACCTGTAAGATGGACTCCAGCCCCTGAGGGTCATGTGCAGGGTCTGTATGCAGACCAACTGCAGCGTCGTAACGATTTTACCAAATATGTGTTTTGGCCTGCAAATTCAAAGTTTTTTAAGACTTAGTGAATCTTCTCCATCTTCCAAAATTCCAATTTCTCGTAGACTCATTAGTGTTGAACCAATGCTTTTTCATGTCTAAGTTCTTTGTATATGCATTCTTTTCAGATGTATTAAACATAAAGTATCTTCACAAGCCTGCCTGAGGGTAGTTATTTCCTTTACCTTTCTCTTCTGAGTGTGAAGGACTTGTAAATAATGGCTTTTATCCCCTGTGAGCCCCACTCTCCTTCTTGTGAACTGGCTTGGGTCTTTCCTTAATGTTTAATCTTGCTTCTGGCCTCAGTCCTGTCAAGATTGCTCTAATCTTTGATGTAACATCTTTGCTGTCAGGTCTGGTTCTGAAGAGAGGGCTGGATAGCTCTTAGTGAAAGGAATACTCAGTGTGCATGCTCCCAAAATAGTAAAAGTTGGCTTTTGGGCCTTACTGGGCTCCTGCATCTCTTCTGTTAAGAAGTTCCCTGTTGTTCCCTGCTCATGGGCAGATAGCAAAAACCTTGAAGGAACAAATGACATCATACCTACCCCGAAACCTAAAGGGCTTTGTTACACCTTTTTGTTAACGCTCCAAAGGAACAGTGAAATGTTACACTGTTGATAAATAACTTGTATTAGTTATTAAAAGACGTTCCAAAGAGCCTCATTAAAGGTCACTTTTATTTTAAGAAGCTGATTTGAGGGTGCTGTAATCCCAAAGCTTAGTGTAAAATGTGTGGTAGTGATTAGTGCTGCTGTTTTAACTTTGCAGTTCAGTTTTTAGTTGCTGTTTTCTGTGGGGAGGCTTGGCTGGAGCCCTGGGGCTCCTGATGAAGGTTCTGCTGGTACTTGTTGGTGACAGTTTTGGTGGCTTGTCTGTGTACTTACAGCAGGCTGTAACAGGCTTCTGCACCTTCTAACAGCTAATCCAGTGAGTTGAAATATGGAAATCGAGGACTATCAGCTAAATAGGGAAGTAGTTAATGTGGAGAAAAGTCCTGCCTCTTGTAGGGGACATACTTGCATCTGAAATCCAAGCTATGAGGCTGGACTCCAAGGTTGATTACTGCTGGGAAGAGTGTTCCAGGGAAGCAACTGCTTTCCTGAATCAGGAGATAACTTTAAGCACAACTTTTGCTCAGTCCCTCCCTTGCTGAATTAGTTAATATGTGGAAGTTTCCCACTGTGAAACTGTGGGAAATTGCTGGTTCAGCAAATGCTGCTATTTCAGTAGCTTCTGGTGCAGGCACGGACTCTGCATGGTGCTGTAACTCAGACTGGTGCTAAGATTGTACTGAACTGGTGGCTGTTTTTTCTTTCCAAGCTTTCCTGTGCTGTGCCATCAGGAACATGTTGGAGTCATGAGCTTTTTCTTGCTCTCCCTTGCCTGTTTCCCTGTGGGGCAATGGGAAACTATGGAAGAAATGGTGCTGTTGAAAGCAGATGCAGTGATGGTCGTCTTTTCTGAAGTGTTTGGGAGATCAGTGAGACAGGCTGAGCTCTGCAGCCTTCCCAGGAGACACAGCTCCTTTGCTCAGCTGTGCCCTTCACTCCTCCCTCTCCTTCCCAGTAATTTGCTGGTTCTTGCTGTCAATGCTGGGCATTATACTTAGTGAGGTGTGGCCCTAATTGAAATATGGGGAGGGTATGATGGGCACATTTGATAAGACCTCTGAGAGAAGAGCTTTTGGGAGCAACTGTCCAACTGAGTCACCCAGGCTCCTGAGCAGACGGTTCCATGGCATTGCCCAAACTGTTGTACATCACCAGGTGCCTGAAGGGCTTTCCAAGCAGTCCCACCTGGGATAGTCCCCTTTGCCTGGGTTACATGTGTCTGCCCTTCTGTCCTAAGGGGCTCCCAGGTGGGAGATCTGACAGGGTGCAGCTACTTTAGTGTTACATGTCCGAATCTCCCGAGTTGTCTGTCCTTTACGTGCTCTTATTTCACACCCCAGAGTGGTTTTGGAGTGTGCTGGTGGGATTTGTACTGGGTAAAATGGGAATGGGTGTTGCCCTCCAGCACTGAATGGAGTTTGGGTCACTGGGGCCCAGCTGGAGGGAGTCTGAAGGGCCCCGAAATCTCAGTGTTACTGTTGGGGTGGTTTCACTTGGCAGACCTGCTCCTGCCACTTGCTGCTGTACACGGCTAAAAACAGACCCATGATTCTGGTGTGTTCCCAGGAGGCAGCAGTGTCTGCTGGTACTTGGCCTCAGTCTTGCTTTGCAGCTGGCAGCAACTGCCTCCTTTTAAAACCAGACTCCGAGTGGGACTTGCAAGAGCATTGTCAGCACTGCCCCACCCAGCCCTCCTGCTGCCCTGGCTGAGGTGAACCAGCCTCTCTCTCTCCCTGTGCAGCTCTTTCCTGTGGGGTGCTTCTGGGGCACTGTGCTGGGGAGGAGTGTTGCTTTGCTTTCTCTGGCTGCCCACACTCTGCTTCCTCTGAGAAACATTCCTTGCTATTGTTTCTCTTCAACCCCTGGGCTCCTGTCCGAGGAGTGCAAGTCACCATTTGGGTGCCCAGAGACCTTCCTGCTGGTGAGCAGTAACACAGAGAAGATCAAGCATGGAAGAGGAAATCACTGCTTCAAAAACTCAAAGAATTAAAAATAATCCCGAGGTGATTAAACTATGAATAAACTGGTTCTAGGTGGTGAAAGAAGCAGACCCCTCCCTCTGGCAGTGCATTTCTGCTGGTTTTGTCACCTTAGTCCCAGTGGTGATCTGTCCCTTTCAAGGGCTGAATCAGTTCCTGAAACTGAGTCTGGGAAAAAAGAAACTGTGAGCCAGGAGTTGGCTGGAGCTTTCTGTGAACTCCTGACCTAAATGACTTGTCCAGGATTGCTCAAGAAACTGGTAGTCGGGCCCAGGCTGGAGCTCAACAAGGTTATCTCAGCTAGAGATCTGCTGCCCTGCCATAAACACACTGGCAAGTCCAGAGCCTCCTCCCTCCTCTTCCCTTGGAAGCTGGTGCTGACCAACTCCTCAGTATAGTGAGGTGAGATAAAAATACCATTTATTGTGGGCTTAGACCAGGACAAAAGCCTGGATACAAAAGGAATTGGCGGTAGCTCAGGTGGAGGAGTGTGAATGAGGAGTGAGGGGAACTCCTGATCTGTATCAGGGCTCTTCTGATTTTGGGAGCTCTCTTGGGTATAGATTCTGTATTTATTAAGACCCAGCCTGATGCTGCTGCCCTCTGCCTACTTCTCAGCTTTGGCAGAGGTTCAGAGTAACCAAGGGGGTGTATTTGTTTGATCACCCCCTAATCTAGTGGTCCCTGGAAATTTCCTTATCACAAGGAGGTTTTTGGCTTGAATTGTCAAGGTGAGCTCTGAGAGCTGAGGAGCAGATGGGCACAGACCCTGTGCAGTGTGTACTGTCAGGCACTGCTTGGCAGCACAAGAGGGCTTCCCTGAAGCATGGACAGGCAGCTCCTCTCACCTGGAGGGCAGAGAATGTTTGCTGGGGTGTCTTTCCAGTTCCTGCGGGGCAGCAGCTGTGAAAGGGAATGGAATATTCACTGTGTCTGCACTAGTCCGTGGTGCATTTCCAGCTGCCCTCTGGTGGTTTAGGACAGAAGGGCTGAGGTTGGAATTTGGCCTGTGTTCCTGACGTCACCTGCTCGTGAGAGCCTCCGCTGCCAACGGGATCTTCTGGAGCTGAGCAACCCTTGGAGTGGGACACAATGGGCTTGACTCCAGCAGCCCTCTGGGTTTCCAGGGTGGCCTGTGGTGGTGCCTGGGGCATGGGTGCTGCTGATAAAGCTGGATGAGGCACTAAACAAATCGACTGCGAGGGTTATACTGGTTGGTTTCCACATGGGAGGTGGCTGGATGTTCCAGGGTGAGGTGATGAAGTTCTGGAACAGGAAAACACAGACTGAAGTCCCTACAGCAGCTTCTTCATGGGCTCTGGTGAGAAATGGGCTTGAGCTCCAAAGCACAGGTTTGCTATCGCCTTTAATCTTGCCATCAGTATTTGTGCTGGGATATACTACATAAAATGAAACCAGTTATGTACTGAGTTCCTGACCTTTAGGCTTGATGCATGTGTGAAAATAACTTCTGTCAGTTTTGAATTTCCAGCTTTTCCTTGGTTGTGAAGAAATCAGGGCCCTGCTGAGGGTTGTGTAGGGCAGCCTGTAGTTACTGCCTGCACACACGGGGAGTGTTTTTACATCTGCTCGCCCCCCTGTGCCTCTCAACCTGGAGAAGTGCCCATGTGAGTGATGTGTTAAGAGTGTGAGGAAAAAGCCTAAACCCCACGGTACGAGGAGTGTACCAGTCCTGTCAGCACAGTCCCTGAAGGCACTGGCTTGGACACATCATGCAGGTTTGTGTGCTTGCTCCTGCTGGGTGACCCCAGAACTGTCTGCCCGTGGGCATTTGTTTCCCTGGGAGCAGCTACAGCAAGGTGAGCTGTGCCAAAACACGGGACATCCACAGGAACCATCCTGACATCCCGACAAATGGATAGTCCAGCTCCTCTTTGCTCTGGATAAAAGTGGCTTCTGCACAAGTCTGGGCCACTTGATGACCTGCCAATGCTCAGTGTGTGTGGGAGCATCAGCATCTGCTATTTTGGAGTGATGTGACTGCATGGGGAGGGGAGAGGATTTTTCATGTTCCCACAGAGGGGAACGGTTGGTCACTTCATCCAACATCCAGCTCTGGAAGGATGGGGGCATTAGAAGTGGAGTGCTGCACACATTTTCCTTGAATTTAGCACAGCACCTAAGTCTGGGCTGCTGTCCCTCATATAGCACCTCCCTGTGCTCCCAGTGACATGGTATGGGGAGGGAGCTTACCCAGGAGAAAGACAGCTCGTGGCCCTTCCTTCAGATTGGAGCAGAGGTCCATCAGTGCTGGTCACTTTTCAAACAGCACCTCCTAAGGGCACAGGAGCAACAATTCCCAGATGCTGGAAGTCAAGCAGGTGAGGCAGAAGGCTGGCTTGGCTGAGCCAAGGGATCTTCTCTTGGAAATAAGGCAAAAAAGGAAGGGGTGTGCCCAGTGGAAGCAGGGTTAGGTGACACGGGAAGAATTCAGAGATGCTGCTTGTCACTGCAGGGAGAAAATTTGTGTGGCCAAAGCTCAGCTGGAGTTGCAGCTGCCAGAAATGTGGGGGACAATAAAAAGTTTTTCCAAATACATTAAAGG